ACACCATATTCTCAGCCATTTGCTTCCCTGGTGTATTACTTTCTATGTGGGACCTTATCTTTGGGGAGGATTGACAAGAATGCCACCTGTGCACCACGCCCTTTCATCTTCCTACCTCAAGCCTCATGGTCTTCTCTGATCTGCTCAAGTGTTTTTCCTGGCTGTATCAGTGACAGACAAGAAGGATCTGGCCAGATGAACTTTGGCAGTCTCTCTGTCTTGGATATGGGTTCCACACCTCATGAGACCCCTGTTCCAGATGACAAATAGGCAGTTTTGTCCTCTGCAGGAGGAAGTCCTCAACCACCACCATTCTTCTTGTTTAGGTGGTCCTAGAGCTCCCATTCCTATGGCCCTGCTCTTCTCATCTACCTTCTTTATTTCTTCTCTGTCTCCCCAGAGAATGTCTTTATCCACCAGGCTGAAAAGTATTTGGGAGTGAATTTCTCTCCCATTGGTGAGGTTCAGCCTTGTGTAATAAATATCCACTGAGACACGGGTCTCTGCCTTCCAAGGTAAATGTGACCTCTAGAATATAGGATATTTCTCACCTGATGAATACTTTAATTATTCCATGCGAAGTGGAAAGCCTCACAGGAAAGATTGAACACCCCACCCCAGGACAGCCTGGTGTTATAGCACATCCCCGGGAGGTGGAAGATATGGCATTACTGTCTAGGTAGAAGAGGGATTTGGATCTGGGTATACTTTTTCCTGAGTGAGTGCTTTAGCTTATAGGCTTCTGGTAAATGGGGGTGGGAGGGAGAGGCACTACCTTCAAAGCAAAAGCAGGCAGTACTAGCAGATCCTTTTTCTAGGCTTAGACTTTTGTGAATGGAGATTTAGGTTCCAAATAATGGGCACATTGAAGTTCAACACCCAGAAATACTGTATGGGCTCAGCATGTCAGGCCATGAAGAGTTGTTGCCCACTATAGATCTGTCGTCATTGTGTTGGTGTGACCCAGGAAGCAGGAACCTGAAGCCAATAGACATTATGGTTCCTGGCACTTTCTTCTCTTAGTGCTGCAGAATGCAGAGCTCGGAACAATTTTGATTTCTGCATTCTGGGAATTGTTTGTAAGATCCACAGTGTGTATGCATGAATTTGTGCTAGTATGTGAAAATGAAATCCATTCTTATCTTGTGCTTGTAGTTAGGTTACACTCAACAGTTTGTATGTATGGTAAACAAATCTATAAAGCCTATATTCTGCGCTCAGAAGCACTGCATATTTCCTGATTGCCAGCTCAGTGGAGCTAGTTGCTTCCTGTTTCTCTGAATTCTTACTGTATCTTAAAAGTGTTCCCTACTTTCCATAACTAGATGGAATTTGAGTACAGAAGACGCGTTAATGTACAGCTCATGCTCTTTCCTTCTTCTGTAGCCCTCATCGTATGTGCTTGAAGTTTTCAAGAAAGTCAAGTCAAGGTGAGTCCCAAGAGGCTTCTTGCTGAGTCGGATCAGTGCTTGAGTGTTGGGCCTTGGTTCCTTTGGAGAAGCTGCCAGCACTGGAGGCGGACAAGTAAAGAAAGACTGTTAGCAGCTGTGCTGCTGGGGAAAATAATCATTCCCTCCTTAGTAAGAGCTGGCTGAAACTTTGGAATGTGTTGGACCTGCAAACCATGGTGTCATAGAAGGGACAGCAGTACTGAAAACCTGAGGGAGGGAGGTATGGAAAGGGCAGAGCCTACTAGTCTTCTTTCCACAAGGCAGGATTGTCTACCAGCCTGCTCCTTGCTCTGGGATGTGTCCAGTAAACCACATGTTCTCTGACCATTGTTGGCTCCTTTACCTCAGAAATGGCTGAGCAGTGACAGTCCTGAGAGTTACTTTGTACCATGTGCCATACTTTGGGGAGAAGGAGGAGGGAAGGATATTTAAGTCTCCTGGACAGAGCAGTGGTGGCTGCTTGTGGCAGGGCACTGTGTGCACCTGCCACTTCAAGGCCCTGGAGCTGGCAGCCTCCAGGTGCCTAATGAGGGCAGCCATTTTAGGCTCAGGGCTGCCTATATAAACAAGGCAGATTGGCTGCTGGAGGTCAGGCAACAACACCGCCTGGCCAGGGGTCTGCTGAATTTCATCTGGAGTTAAGGGAGGAGCTGTAGGGGATGGTAGGAGGCTCCTGGTCCTGGGTACAACCTGAAACTCCCTGCTGGGAGTGGGTGGCCTGGTGGGGCTCCCAGTGGCGCGGGAGCCCCCAGGAAATGCCAGGCCAGTTACCACCCCGGTGAAAGGCAGGTCAGGCGCCTTAACCCCTAGCCCCTACCACTGGGTGGGTAACCCCTTTGTGTGGAGGGCCCAGAGCATGGACCCTTAGAGAGAGGAAAAGAGGCCATAGACTCAGGCCTGTCAGAGTTTCCCCTGACTAATCCATGCTGGAGCCAGGACCAGAAGGGTTGAAGGGCCTGGGGCCCACCATAGGGGGCGCCCAAGAGCTGAGGGCCTGGGGTCCTGACTGGCCTGGAGGTGGGCTGGGGCTAGAGGAGCTGAAGGTCTTGGTGGGGGGACCACACCCAAAGGGGAACCAGTTTCAGGGAGCTATGTTGCCCGGTATGATGGTGGAAGAGTCCGCCTGAAGGTAGGAATCCAGGTGGGGTTCAATAGTAGGGTTCTGGGGCCCAGAGTGGAGCTGGTGATGATGAGAACATCAAGATGCCATCTGCGAGGCTTGGGCTGTGGTGTAGGGGAGGAATGAAGCTGCAGATAGTACCCCCTGGTATTGGGGCAGAAAATGGGCAGCCTCCTGCTTAATTAACACCTTTATTAATTAATTAAGATCAAGGCATGGCAGGTGAGGTGGGTGGTTAGCCCAAGAACAGGCAGGTGGCCCACATGGAGAGCGGCCCCGAGCAGGCCCGTTACACTGCTCAACTTAGCCACTGTGCCAGAGCCTCCCAACATGGTGTTGTTTCCCTCCATTCTGTGTCAGGCAGGGGCTGCTTTGTGTGTGTGTGGACTTAGTCACCCCTGTCCCTCTCCACTTTCCCCTCAGTGAGGTGGAGGAGTCTCTGCTCGTCCTGCCTTTCTCATACATCCCTGACCTACTCACTCTCTTCAATGAGTACATCCAGGTGGGCACTGAGGTGGAGCTCTTCTGCCGTGCTCTCCTTTTCCTCCTCAGGTGAGTCACAAAAGCTAAGTCCAGCACTTACTGCCAGCTGACACCTCTGTGAGAGGCAGAGCTTTCCTGGCCCAATCTTAGGGGGTGAGCCCCTATCACAGTTGGACTGGCTGGCAAACAGTTGGACTGGCTGGTAGGGCATGAGCTGACTGGATCTGAATGGGCCCTTTCTAGCCTCAAATGTGGTGGCAGGGGGGTGGTGTATGCTGCCAGCCAGCCCTGCTGCTCTCTGCTGGTTCTGTGAATAGGGACTGGGGATGTGTCTTTGACCTTCTGGGCCGAGCCAGCACTTCCCCTAGCCCCATGATCCTTTGAACCCCTGCTTGAGAAAGGGCTGCTCTAGGTAATTGGAGCTTGCTTTGTCTGCTTTTTTTCCTTCAGGATACATTTCGGACAGATTACAAGCAATCAGATGCTTGTGACAGTGATAGAAAATCTGAAGAAAACCACCATCTCCAAAGTCAGTGAGGCCCAGGTGAGTGTCTGCAGCAATACTCTGTGCTTCTGGTTGTGTTTCCATCTGTATCCAAAGCCTTCTCAGTACTCTGTCCCTTTCCCTTGTTTCTGCAGTAGGCAAGTTCCTGGCTGTGGTATAGACAGTTGCTCTGTTATCTTTTATTTGGATTTTTGTTCTCCTATGCAAGTGTCCTGTTTATGCAGGAAAGACAAATAAAACCCTCTTTTTGAAAAAGAAGCCTTCGATTTAGGATTCGCAAGTAACCCAGACTGTGGGGAGATATTGCAGATTCCAGCAATCTAGGTTTCAGAAAAGGGAGAAGATTGTGACTTGTCAGAGGCATGGAGCAGAGGCTATAACTGCCACCATGCAGTAATCCTTGTTTTCAGCTGGTGCTTGGTTCTGGTTGTTCCTCTGTGTTTAAAAAGAAGTTAGCTATAGGATTGTGTTGTGTAGATCTGCAGAGTTGTTTGGTTGCTTCTTGCCCAGAGAGGGTGAAAAAAGCCACTCTGTGCCAGAGAGAAGGGATTCCTTGAGCAAGTGAACTCCTTGCCACCAGGAAGCTAGGACAATGCCCATTTCCTCCTCCTGAAGCTAGGACCATTGTGTTTATCTGTCTCCACAGGACATGCTGGGATTCAACATGGCTGGGCTCCAATACCTGAAGAGAGAGATTGAAGCCAAGGGTGAGGTGACTTTCTTTGCTGATGCCAGTGACCATTTTGAGGAGAAGAAGAAGAAGAGGAAGAAGGAGAAACTGATTCTTGCAGTGGTTTAGCTCTTGCTCTCCATTATGGGGGCACAGTGAGGGGCTCATGCAGTGTCAGCATGCACCAGAAACCTGTGTCTGGGCTTGAGACAGTCTGTTACGGACAGTGGCTGAAGTGGACTCCAGAAGGTCTATTTCTCTTAGAGTTGGGGGCTCTTTAGCTTTATCGACTCGGGGCATAGTGAGCCCTTTTCCCAGGGATGAGATTGAACCTCCTCTGCTTTGCTGTTATATTTGAAACCTTGAATCGGTGTCATATGTGCTGCCCTCCTCCCTTTTCTTAGCAGCCATTAGAAATGGTTTCATTTCCTCCTCCTGAAGCAATCCAACTTCCTGTCAGTGTTTTAATTGAGTGAGGAGGATCAAGACCTAGTTTGCAGACTCCTTTGGGTCCAAGTTATGTGTGTGGGGGCCGGTGGCTTGGCTTTGTGCTGGTCTTGCAACAGGGATTGGCTTGTTGCAGACACAGGCTATGTGCTTCTCACTGTGCAGACAAGGCTAAGGAACACCCCCTCCCCAGTGGGGCTGGTTCCTGCCACAGCTGCAGGGCCTAGCCCTACTGCAGTATAGATCTGTTCTAATTATGTGCAGTGGGAGGGTGATTCCATGGAACCTTGTCAGAAGACTTCTTAAAATTTATTGGCATCTTCCATCAAGCTTATCTGACATCTGGGCCCCAGAAAGAGGCCTACAGGAGCAAAGTGGAGGAGTGGGACTCTTGCACTGTATTTGGAGTGGGCAGGTTCACTCAGTATGTGGAGAGTTAGATAAATCACATCTTCTGGAAATAAACCACAGAGTAATCCTCTGCTGTTGCTGCTGTTTGTGGTAAGTGCTGCTATGTCCTTGAAACTGTTGGTAACATAGGTTTCTGTGAACTTTGATTAAAAACACTACTGCCCTCTGGTCTACAGAACATAGTGCAGGGACTTGGAGCTGGATCTGTTTCTGGTTCAGGAATCGTCTAGATTTTTTTAAGATTGTTCCAGCTGTTCAGTTGATCATTGACCTCACTGACTTACCATTTGTGAGGCCAGTTATAACCAAGCAATTCTACTGAAGGCAACTAAGTGGCTGATGTATTTGAGGACAACAACTTTTTACTATTGGTGATGCCATGTAAAATAGAGCAAACCCAGCCTGACTGTCCAATCTCAGAATGAATTTGCAAGGTGTATCTGGGGAAAAAAATCCTCTTTATTTGCTGTGAAGTCGGAGGAGGATTAAAAGTAGAATCTCACAATGGTGCTTAATCCTTTCACAGCTAACCTGATGTTTGCTCTCTATTCTTTGGGAAGCTGTATTATAAGCTCAGGATACATCATCATGGGAGAACTGATCAAGAAACTGATGCAGTAGTTAAAATATTTTAATCAAGTTAGGTGTGAATGAATTGAATCACTATACTTATGGGGAAAAGTTGATACAATAATAGTTAAGTAAAATGCAGGTATGTTGGTACTGCTGGTTTTGGTGTTGCTCCTCCAGTGCTCTGATCTGCAATGAAAGAATAATGAAAATTAATGAGTTTCAAAGCTCTGAATTAAGAGGTGCAAAGTTCTGCAGCAATGATATTAATCGTCCTTCAAGTATCTGTTCACATGCACATTCTCCCTCGTGGGTACGTGTCAATGCCTTGTCCTTTGACCAGATGTTTTTGCTTTCATAGTTACTCATAAGAGTGCACCCCAGCCTAGGTCTTGTGTTGCCTTGCTGAAGGTGTAGAGAGCAGTACATGTTTCCTGTTCATCATTTCTTCTCACCCTAGTTTCATGTGCCTACTGACTTGAGCCTTAGGAAGCACTCAGGGCAGGGGCAAATGAGAGCAACACAGGAGCTCTTCTATTGTATATGTGCTACAAGTGAACTGAATCACCTCAACTTTAACCCTTAATGAAGCAAGGTTAAAATTGGAGCAAATCTGCTCTATTGATATGGCTACAGACTCCTGTGTTGCAGTGGAACAGCTGCTGCCTGGTCAGGAGTGGCACCTCACTCTTCCCTTTTGAAACTGCTCCAAATACATTTTTATCCATGTCCTTAGATATTTTTTTTTTTCTATTTCCCCCAACACCTTCAGTATCCTGAGAACATCTGTAAGAGTTGTTCTCATGTACTGTCTTTCGGGGGAATCCACAGACTTTGCTGTCACTTAGCACCTCAGCACTAATGTCAACTCCTCCCACCTTTTGTAATAATGCCATAGGTAATATTCTGCGGCCTGGACACTTTTTGTGGAGTGTCACCCATTTACTGGTAAGTGAATTTGCTCTTTTTTCTTTTTCTCCCCTTCAGTTCAGACAAGGGGACCCCACCCCGGTTCTTTTTTTGCCCTCTGATGTGGCCTTGCTTCTCTTGGCTTTCAACCATGCCCCTTGTGCACTAGTTTCATAGTGTCATCTAACAGCCACATGCAGTGGAATATGCCACATGCACATTCACAAGCCACATGCACATTCTGACTGGTGGAATCTCCGCTCACTGGGCTTACAGACCCCTTGAGGACATTTTTTCACTGGCCTTAAGTTTTGTTTATACTCCCAAGTGCTACAGTCACCAGCCTGTCTTTGGAACTAGTGGGCTCCTTGTTCAGAGTACTGGTGAAGATCCTTTTTGGGCACTGAATCCCCAGCACCTCTGGTACCATTGCATCATATGTAATTGCCAAAAAAACAGAAGTCACAAGCTGTAATATGTTGACTGAATTGCCCATAGGATACCATATAATGATGGTTAGAAGGCAGCAGTACCCAACAGATCCCCAGGTGGTGTACTTTTTCCAGCTCTTTATGCTATATTTGAGGCTGACTGAAGGATCTGGGCCAGGTCAGGTGGGCCTGTGGAACTAAGCATTCTAAGTTGGGAAGGTCTGTCTTGACAGTCAATGCTATCCTGACAGTACTGGGGTATCCAGTATGACCATATTGGCTAGGTTAGGTACAGTGCATGATATTGGAAACCATTCCCTCTTGGTCAGCCTCTCAGTACCAGTCCCAAGATGCATGGCTTTATCCTTCATACGAGGATGAAATTGGTGGTGAGGATGTTCTAAATTACTGTTCAGATCCCTGCATCGTTGCCTAAGGTTACTGATGAAGCTGAAGACTAAGGGCATTCTTGCTTTGAGGGAGCAGTAGATGTCTGTGTAGTTGGGGCACTGAGAGAGTACTGGTACAAAGGAGAATTGGATGGTGCTACGTATGTTAATGATGCTGGTTGTTGCAGCATGGGGAGGCTGTGTGGTGATATGGATATTGAGGTAATTTTGATGGCACTGCCATGTTGGGGTGAAGTGGATGCTGCTGAGTTGTCTGAGGAGGGGAGTTCTCAGCACTGCTGTATCCAGTTGTTCTGGAGTGCCATTTTGGTGCCCTTTCTTGGTACCGTGGCTAGCATGACCTTCAGCAAGCATCACTTGGACAATGGTGTCTCGGGAGACAAGTGATGCTTTATACTTGGAGAGGATTTGGTAAAGCATCCGCCTTGGAGAGCTTCTGCCCTTGTCTTTGACAGTCTCTTGTCAGGTTGGTGTTTGTTGCTTCTGTGTGGTGTATGTTGCTACCCTAGAAGTTGGTGAGCCCACACTTGTGCAGTGTGACTCCAAGGGACTATGCCCAGGGGTCTCTGGTGATCCCAGGGCAGCAGGTGATAGATATCATGGCTTTGCTCATAAGAAACATCTGCAATCTAACCTCCCTTTCCTCCCTGGTTCAGGAGGCAAAACAATTGCAGATACTATGAATTCCCCTCAGACCAGGCATTTCAAGATTCCCATCATATGTGAACCATACTCTCTCACCTGAGGGGCTATATTTTAATCCTAGGGAACTAGAATAACCATGCAGAATTCAAATCTAGTTCAAAGAACTGCCAGTAGTGTGACATTTTCCAAAGAAAAGATAAAAATATCCTAACTACTTCACAACTAACTGGCTCAAATTCCAGTGTAAGAACTTCTAACAGTTAAAGCATAGAAAGCAAGCCACTCCTATTTTGAAATGAGAAGGGGAAAGATTGCGGTTGGCATGTTCCATCATTGGCACAGATTGCAAGGACCTGCATGGGGGGGGGGGGGGGTACTGACCAGATACCAC